TTTTTTGAGACAGGGTCTCACTATGTAGTTCAGGTTGGCATTGGACTATGTAGCCCAGATTGACCTCAAACAGCAATCCTCCTGAATGGTGGGACTACAGGTGTGTGCACCACCACACCCAGCAAAGAATTATATTCTTATATTCTTAATTAGGCTGAGAACTCCATCATAACAGATTTCATATCACAAAACACTGTGCCTAGCCTAACTGGAGGCATTCAAAAACCTGTCGATTTATTTGCTCGATTTATCTTTTCCTCTTACATATATTACTGTCAGTTCCTGTTGATTCTATGGCCTTTTCTCCTTCCCCAGTTCTTAATTTAGGACCTCACTGCCTCTCATCCAAACCTAATCGCATTCAAACAGATGTCTTTGTTTCCAGTCACCTCTTCTCATTGTTTTGGCAATTACCTTTCTAAAGTACACTCCAAAACCAGCATTCTTTTTTTTTTTTTTACCAGTATTCTTGATAACAGAATAAAATCAAAGATTTTCACACCCTAGCTCTTCCTCTATTGATAATCAGTAAGTTTGTCAAGCTAATTAAACATAATTACTACTTCAAAGCTCTGTAAACATGATGTATGAACACATTATCCCAGTTACTAGACTTCAGAGAAACTTCTGAAAATATTAAGATGGCCTGAGGACAGGTCCAGTCAAATGCTATGCAGTGGTACCTCGGTTATCACTTAATTCTTTCCATGGTTCTGGTTGCAGAATTTGTTCCACAATCCAGTTGCGACACAATCCAACAAATCCTGCTACCTGAATTACCGAAAGAATTAAGGTTATGAACCAAGGTACCACTGTATTCTTTTCTCGAAAACTAAGTCGGAAGACCCAGTTCAGTCCCTGGTACCATGAAAAAAAAAGTGCTCCGTAATTTCCTTTTTTTTTTTGGTATTGGGGATTGAATTTGGGACCTTGTGCTTTCGAGGCAGGTGGTGGAACCACTAAGCTAAATCCCCGGGCCTGTAATTTCCTTTTTATGTGAAGGGTACAGATTAGCACAAATTGTCTATGCTGCTACCACTTTTTTTTCCACACTGCTGGGGATTAAACCAGCACCTCAAGCATGCTAGGCAAACTATGAAGCTATACCCCCAGCCCTACGCTACTTGTTTTAAGCAGAAAAAGATGTTGTCTTAAAGGGGAAACAAATCTTACCTAGAGAAGGAAAAAGGTTTAATCTGAGTAAAATGATTTGCAGCAACATAAAGAGCTTTTAGACATAGTTTTAAAAATAGATAAACATATACAAAAGTCAAAATTACCTCTCAAACCATGTTTTTATACTGTATGCAAATGACTCCCCAGGATACAGTTGGTTATTTCTTAAATACAAAAGAATATCTAGTAGCTTGTTGGAATAGTGATCATTCTTTATGTCTTTTCCAAAATCAAAGAAAGCTTTTAAAGTTTCCAACATAGGAGTAAGTTTATGACTTAGCAATTCCTGATACAAATTCCAAGCTATATTCACATCTTGATGAAGGAGAGCTCCCTGGATACAGTCGTTGTAGTTCCTTACTGAAGGAGTCATGACTTTTTTAATGTCTTCTAATAGCTGCAAGGCCTCTCTCCATTTGTCTGACTGGACTAATCCCCGGATGAGAAGAGTGTAAGCCCCAGATTCCAAACTCTTGTATCTGGCTTTCATGATTTCATAGACATCAATAACTTCTGATGTCTGCTTATAGAAGACACAGAGATGCAAATACTTGACCAATAAATCATAGCTTACAATACCACTGTTTTTTGCTGCTACCCATGTCAAGAGAGATTTAACCACATCTACAGAGCTGTTTTGTTGAGACATCTGTGCACTGATCCACTTTTCAAAACTGCCCTTTCCTGTATACTCTTTCTCAAGTTTATCCCACTCCTCTGAATTCAGTGGTTTTGTTGGCAGTTGAATATTCTTCCTCTCAAGTAACAAGGTGTGATCTTCACTGTGAGCAGTCATCTCTGCTCTCTTCCTAGCTGCTCCAGCAGCAAAAAGATGAGGATGAGAAGAAATTCGCTTAGTACTGTCTTCATCTCCCTTTTTGACAAATCTGGCCTTGGCAGCCAATATATTCATTGCTTTGGTATTTTGTGGCGACATCGTTTTAAGAGAGAACCACTTCTGTTGGTTCCAGATGCCACAGTCAGTGAGAAAGAGAGACAGGTAAGAGTGCTCTGGCCCTAGCCCAAGGTATGGCTTGCTCTTCCAAAGCTTAGGAAAGCTTCGAATACTAGACAAACAGAAGCTCATTATGCAATATCAGCAGCAGACAGAGATGTTAAAAAATCCCTTACTTCTACAGCAATATTAAAAGACTGGAGGTTGGAGGCAGAGTGTGATTATTTAAAAGGAGACTGTTTCTTCTTTACACACAGTTTAAGGTTCTGCTTTTGTAGCACCACTTAACAGCAACGAGGGCAGGTGAGTTCTCTTCATTAAACAACGATGGAGGTGGGGGGTGGGGTTCCAACATGAGTCGTCGGCCCTAAACCTGGAAACAGAGCGGGAAGCCTCTGGAGCCTGTTACATTCCAGCCGGAAGACCTGAGGAAAAAGCACAAGGCGTGCTCAGTTTGACTCAGGTAGATCACAACTATAAAATGGGCGGATCTCATAGGAACTAGAAGACGAATAAACTTAAACCCGTTCTGAGGAGCTACCCGCCCCCCCCCCCAGCCCCACCGGCAAGAACGCTAGCGAACAAAGCCGAAGTCTAGGGGCCTCTTCCAGAATTAGAACTCTACCCAGGCCGCAAAACTCGCCTGATGGGGGTAAAAAGGGGTCGGGGAGGTGGGGAGTCACCTGAGCCAACTATTCAGGTAAAGAAGCGAGGTCCAGGAGGGGCACCGACTTGACTGCTTACAGACAGCTGACAAAGTCCACTCCATCTACTCACCACCTCACTCGCGCTCGAGGAACCGGGAGACGCGGTGGAAACTACATCGCCCACAATGCACCACGCGGGCCCCGGCTCGCGGGATGGGCTATATGATTACCGGCGGTCTAGTTCGCCTGGCGGCGGAGGGGAAAAAGGCTGTTGCCAAGCCTTTACAGGCAGAAGCACTGGACAGCCGCGGGCGCACCTGTTACGTTCAGGGGACCGTGAAGGCCGCCAAATCAATGAAAAAAAGAATCGTAAAGAAGAGGCGACTCTCAAACCGGAAACGCTAATGGAGTTCTGAATCACGTGGTGCACACGTGCCAAAGGCCCACGATAAAGAAACTAAAACGGGGGCTTCCCTATCCTGGTCTCCGGGCTTGGTGAGGTTGGTACGCCTGCTTAGGAAGGATCATTTTTCATTTCTTTCATATCTGCTTTCCTTCAGCGCGATCACCGTATCTTCAGGAACAAGCTACAGAAACCGTTTGGTTTTTTTTGTTTTGTTTTTTTTAATTTAGCCGCGACTTCCGCCCATGTCCAAGATGGCAGCGGGGTGGCCTTCCTAACCCGGACGTAGTCTGGCGGCGCCTGACGGAGTCGGGGCTGGAAGAAGGTGGAGTGGCTAAGAAACAGCAAATGGGACGCTGGCGCTGGGGTGTCAGCCATGGACTGGAAAGAAGTCCTTCGCCGGCGGTTAGCGACGCCCAACACAGATCCAAACAGTGAGTTTGGAAGGAGCCGCCCGCTGGGACAGCCCGGCCCTAAATTAGAGGTAGGGGAGGGCGGGAAGGAAGAGGAAGTGGGAGCCCAATTTTGGCTTGGTAGAGCCTCTTCTGCGAAAGAAGAGAATGTGCTTTATAGAGTCTGGAGGTTTGACTCAGACTTTCCCAGGAAATGATAAGCAAGAGCGAAAAACTGACTTCCATGGTCTTCTTTTAGACTTGTGAGGAATAATAGAACTCTGGCTCTGAAAACTTGTCCATCCCACCAGGACCTCTGATTCATTTTTCTTTCGCATTTGTACTGACACGCTTTTCACTTCCCTCCTTATCCATTTTAGATTTCATAATCTATTTTTCCATGTCCTTTTCTCTTCTTTACACTTGGCATATTAACCTGTTTAAATCTTTCCTATTCCATACTTTTATTTAGGGCAGCTGAAATTGTCTGGAGTAAAGCAGGACTATGGTAAGTTATCTCACTTTAATCCATGTCCGCTAACCTAAAGTGGATGTCCTTGTCCTGTCTACAGTGTTTCCCTGACCTGTCTTCTACATTAAACTCCTCTCATCTCCCAAACCTGTCCTACTTACTCCATACCTTCAGATGAGGAACTCTTCTTTAATGTTATCTCACTGACAAAGTAGACGTGAAGGAAAACCTCACATGTGTTCTTTTACCGTATCTATCACTTCCCCGCTGTAAGTGCATTCTGCTTACTGTTAAAATGAACCATCCATGTGATATAGGGGGAATAAATGTAACCCCCAACCTGGTAGATGTCAGATACGCCAAGTTCTTGTTACCCAAAATCAATGATTGAATGCTAAGGAATAATAGAGGTTAAGAGTAGGAACCATTTATTGAGAGAGAGCTCCTGAGAGACAGGAGGGAACCTGAAAGTGGGTTGCAGCAGACCTCACTTCACAAAGGAAATTCTATAGAGCAAAATTAGAGGTGGGTACAAAAAATCACAAGTGGGTACAACCTGGGTCAAAAGTATGATCAATAAAATTAGTATAGCTGCTTTATGGGGGAAGCAAGTGTACATGTAAAGAACAAGGACCCTTTTAGGAAGAGATGAATCAGGAGGTCTTGGTCACCCACCTGGGTGACTGATGTCTTTCTTTCTAGACTTTATTGGACCAGTTGATACCAAATATAGTATATTGCTTATCCCTCAAATTATCTAGGCCTGGTCATTTTCTTTATCTTGAGGCCTGGCCTTCAACAGATATGCCTCTAACATAGCTGTAATGTGTTTTCATCCTGTCCACTGACTCCCTCGAGGGCCTACCCCTGTCTGACTGCCTAGAATTTTCTACTTAGCTGTCTAAAATACATGTACTTACTTGAAAGTCTATCCACTCCAGCACTAGATCACATTCCTTTGTGGGGGTAAGAGGAGTGCTGCTGGGGATCCAACCTAGGTCCTTGCAGACCCAAGGCCTGTGCAAGTGCTCCACGACTGAGCTAACCCCCAGCTCCACACTCCCTTTCTTACAGGCAATAACTTCTCTCCACCCTTATCCTCTCCCTTATACATCATCAACTTTTTCTTTTCTATGGACATTTCCATCAGCACTGAAAAAACATGTTGGCATTTTCTCTGTCTTTTAAGAATATAGTCATTTGATCCTATATCCACTTCCACCCTCTGCTACGTTTCTCTGCACACTTTATAGAAATACTTCTGTGACTGAAGGTGTAGTTAGTGGTAGAGCAGTATCCTTAGCACCAAAGGGGGAAAAAAAAAGAAATACTGGCTGGGCATGGTGGCACACACCTGTAATCCCAGCATTCGGGAGGCTGAGGCAGGAGAATTGCCATGACTTTGAGACCAGCCTGTGCTACATAGCCAGTTCAAGGCCAGCCTGAGCTACACAGTGAGACCCTGTCTGAAAAAACAAACGAAAAAGGGGGCCAGGGATTTAGCTCAGTGGTTCCACCGCCTGCCTCACAAGGGCAAGGTCCAGAGTTCGATCCCCAGTACCAAAAAAGAAAACAAAAAAAGGGAATACTTGTCAAAGACCACCTGTACTTGTGGATTCTCCTCCCCATATGTTTTTGTTGTTGTTGTTTTGGTTTTTTGTTTGGTTTGGGGGGATTGAACTCGGGACCTTGTACTTTCGAGGCAGGCACTGGAACCACTGAGCTAAATCCCCGGCCCTCCTCCCATATGTTTTAAAGCCTACTCCAATCTGGAATGGATATTTATTACATGTATGTTATATGCCACGTTCTGTTCTAGGCTATAGCAGTGAACAAAACACAAAAATCCCTATCCTTATAGAACTTACACTTTAGTGTGGGGAGAGATGATATAAGTAAATCATCTAGGTCAGTGATACCAAGACTTTTACAGCTTTTAATGATACAAACAGCCCACTGGCATTTATGTTATAGGTTTGCCACCACTGATTGGGTTTTACAGGTAATAACTCCTGTTGAAGACTTTTTCTTTCTTTCATTTTTGGTCCTGGTGATTGAACCCAGTAATGTTCTATCACTGAGCTACATCCCCAGTGCCAGCCTTTTTTTTTCCTTTTGCACCAGGAATCGAACTTCAGACCTTACACTTGCTGGGAAGGCACAGCAGCACTGAGCTAAATCCCTGGCCCAAACCCTTTTTATCTTTTGAGATAAGGGCTCAATAAGTTGGGTGGGCTGGCCTTGAATTTAGATCCTCTTGCCTCTGCCTCGGCTCCCAAGATCTCACAGGCACCACCAGCATACCTGGCTAGGGCTGTTTTCTTCATCAATATTCTGGATCCCATCCTTTGTGTTAGATCCTTTTTGCCTACTCATGGGTGTAACCTCACTGTTGTCCTCTCTCCTGCATCATTACTTTTTCTTAATCATTACTGTTCGCATATAAACATGCTGCTATTTCTCCCATCTTAAACTTTCATGACTTAATTTCCTTGTCTCTAGTTATGCCTCATTTTTTGCTTCCCTTGAGCAACAACTTACTAAAAGAGTTGTTGGTTAAATCTATATTTATCTCCCCTTCCTGCTTGTTGAGAATCACTAGTGGCTTCCGCATTGTTAAATTCAGTGTCCAGTTGTCAGTCTTCATTTGACTTGCAGAAGTTTGTGGTTTGACAGAGTGGAGTAGAGGGAAAGCCTCAGTCACAGGGATCGTCGTCCTTATTCATGGAAGGAAGGAAGGAAGAGTGACTGAACAAGAGTTTGTTCCAACAGCAGGCAGACTGGAGGGTAGTAGACCCTTGAATTTTGAGCTTCAGGTTGAGAGGTTTTTTGCTTTAGGTAGAGGAGCAGTGATTAGGAGGCTGAAACTCCATGGGGTCAAGGGTTGGGCTGTTTTTCTCACCCCTTTGGCCCCAGTGTCTATGAAGAAGTAGAGGAAGCTCTTTCGGTGGCTGATAGTGCTTGGTGTTTCAAGAAAGTTAATATGTTCATTGTCTAAGCACAGTTTTTTTAAATGATTGCACAGAATAGTGATGTTTATTTTGGGTACTTGGCACATGCGTGTAACATATCTTGAGTATTTTCAATCTCCTTAGTGCCTGCTTTACCATTTCCTCCCTCCTCTCCCTAACTTCCTTCCCCCTATTCAAGAAAGCTACCTTCTAGTTTCCTATCATTTCTTCTTTACTTTTTTCATTTATTTGCCTGTATTTTAGGTTTCTTACATAAGGAGTGATATTTAACTTTCTGAGACCAGCTTATTCCTCTTAACAGGATGGTCTCAAATTGTGTACTTTTTTCTGCAAATGACAGGATTTCATCCTTCTTTATGGCTGAATAATATTTTGTTTTATATATATATATATATACACACACACACACACACACACACACACACACACCATATTGCCCATTCATCTGTGGATGGACATCTAGATTGTTTCCTTCTTCTGATAGAGGATTAATATCTATATATTTTTTAAATTTTTATTGTCTATATATTTTTAATATATATAAAGGACTCAAAAAAAAGTAAGAGGGCTGGGGATTTAGCTCAGTGGTTCTAACGCCTGCCTCGCCAAGCTAAGGGCCCGAGTTCAATCCCTGGTACCAAAAAAAAAAAAAAAGTAAGAGACAACCCAGTTTTTAAAATGGGCTAATAGGGCCTGGGGATTTAGCTCAGTGGCACCATGCCTGCCTTGCAGGCGCAAGATCCTGAATTTGATCCCTAGTACCAAAAAAACCCCCCAAAAACAAAATAAAATGGGCTAGTAAACTGAGTAGACATTTCTCAAAATAAGTGGTACAGACAACCAATAAATACGTGAAAAAATGTTCAGCATCTTTATTAGGCAAATCAGAACAACGTTGAAGCTAGATGTGGTACACATCTGAAATTCCAGCACTTTTGGAGGCTGAGACAGGAGGATCACAAGTCACTTAGCAACTTAGTGAGACTTTGTCTCAAAATTTAAAAATAAGGGCTAAGGGTAGACTTCAGTGAAAAGGCTCTGGGTTCGATCTCTACCACTACAGAAACAAATAACCTAATACTGGGATTCCATCTCACCCCAGTCAGAATGGCTATCATCAGGAATACAAAGACAATGCTGGCTGTTATTTGGTAGAAAGGAACCCTTCTGTATGGTTGGGGAGAATGTAGAACGTAAACTAGTACAACCACTATGAAACTCAGTATGGAGAGTCCTCAAAAAACTAAAAATAGAAAAACCATTCAACCCTTGCGGCTGGGGATTTAGCTCAGTGGTTTCCCCGCCTGCTGCACAAGCACAAGGACCCGAGTTTGATCCCCAGTACCAAAAGAAAACCATTCAACCCAGTTAACCCTTCCTGACTATATTTTCAAAAGAATTGTGTACAATTTTGATGGCCTTTTTTGGTACCTCAACCATTTAGAATTTAGTATATAGGATGAGTTGCATAAAAGCATTACTTGATTTTTTTTTTTTGGTACCGGGGATCGAACTCGGGACCTTGCGCTTGCGAGGCAGGCTCTTGGAACCACTGAGCTAAATCCCCGGCCCGCATTACTTGATTTTTAAAAGGGCCTTTCTCCCTTTATTTGTTTTGCTACTAGAAAAAAAAAGTGAACAAGAATTAAAAGATGAAGAAATGGGTTTATTTACCAAATACTACTCAGAATGGAAAGGAGGTGGAAAAAACACAAATGAATTCTATAAGACGATTCCCCGGTTTTACTATAGGGTAAGTGATATCTAAGAAGATGTCTCTCAAAGTCTGTAAGTAAAATATAATTTTAAAACTGGGATTAATTTTAATTTTTAAAAATAGAAGTTTAGGGGGCCAGGGATTTAGCTCAGTGGTTCTGCCGCCTGCCTCGCAAGCACAAGGTCCCAAGTTCAATCTCCGGTACCAAAAAAAAAAAAAAAAAAAAAAAGTTTATGCTTTAAATTTTGTATATTTATCACACTTTAGTTGATCTTATTACTATCATAAAATATTTGCATCTAGTAAAATTTTGAGTTTTGGTATAAATTGGTATATGAAAACAAAGTTGTTATTTGTCCCTTCTTTGAACTATGAGCTTTTCTAATTTTTATTATATTAGTAGTGAGTATTCTCTCAAGTTATGTTGGGATGTACAGCACTTTGTTAGGAGTAATGATTTCGTTCAAGACTAAACCGAAAAATAGATCAAAAATAGAAAATATGAAAATTTCAATTGTATATTTCCTCGTGATAAAACTGTAAGAAGCCTTTGAAGGGCAGTATAGACAGTAAGACCTTAAAGCTATTTACAATGGAAGATAAAGTTTACTAAAAGAATGAGACCTATTTAATGTCATGTAAAATGTAACCACTGGAAAAAAGTTAACTTTGGAGTCTTAGATGAATGTCTCCTGAACATGTTATTTTTAAAAATTCAATTAATTATGACATTAAAAGTAGTAAATACTGTGAGTAACAGCATTCTTAGGGATTGAACCCAGAGCCTTCACAATGAGCTGCATCCCAGCCTTTTCTGAGACAGGGTCTCACCAGGTTGCCCAGGCCAGGCTTGAACTTGCCATCCTCTGGTCTTAGGCTCCCACAGTGCCAGGATTACAGGTGTATCCCACCATGCCTGTCTGACTGTCACGCTACTCCTGATGTAATGTATAATCTAAAATCACAAGGGAAACTAAGTGGACTAGACTATTAGCTTTTTCAGAACAGAGATTTGGCGTTGCTGTTCACTGACTTCTTTATGAACTTTTTGTTAAGTGAATGATAAAATTAAGATGAGAAACAAGAAATAAATTTAGGAAGTACCATGCTGTTATTTCATGAGGTCACATAATATGATTCAATAATCTCAAATTTACATGTAGAAATTTACATTGTGTTTTTAGCTGCCAGCTGAAGATGAAGTCTTACTACAGAAATTAAGAGAGGAATCCAGAGCTGTCTTTCTACAAAGGAAAAGCAGAGAACTCTTAGATAATGAAGAGTTACAGGTAAGAACAGGTTAGATGTTAACCATTTGTTACTTGTACTACTTAATCACACTGGATCTCATGTTGCCTGATAGGCCCACACACTGGTACTGCAGGGGCTCTGCAGCATTGGTGCCCACCAGAGTCAGCTGCTGAGCTCTCCCAGGCCACCACCCATGGTGGTGTCAGGTTTGTTTTTGTTAAGTTCCTAGAAGCTTCTAACTTGCAGCCCAGGTTGAAAACCACTGCTATACAGTCAGGTTGCAGTTTTCAATTTAGGCACATTAGGCAATGGATACAACATCTCTGTGCTCTACTTTTCATCTGTAAAGAGGGGATAACTACCTGCATTATGTAGGTATGGGATTCAAGAGATGATATGTTTGAAAAGTTCAAACTTAGTAGGCATAGGGGCCCGGGATTTCGCTCAGTGGTGCCGTACCTGCCTTGCAAGCACACAAGGTCCTGAGTTCAATCCCTGGTACTGGAAAAAAAAAAACAACTTAGTAGACACTCACCCTACTAAGCTGTTCTTAAGGGTTCAAAAGGATAGTAGAGCATGAGATTCACCTTCACAGTTTATCAAACTCATTTTAATGGAAATGATGCATTTAGCTTTGTTTTTAAATTTTTAAACTTATCTTTATTTCTATAATTTTTGTAAGAACTTATGGTTTTTGTTGGACAAACACCAGACACCACCTATGATTGGCGAGGAAGCAATGATCAATTATGAAAATTTCCTGAAGGTTGGTGAAAAGGCTGGACCAAAGTGCAAGTAAGAATAGTACAATTAACAAAGCAGTATGTTATGTTAAGCAATTTAAATGCCTCAAATATTAATGAAAATTGAAGATACTGATGTGACAATTAATGAAATCTGATAAAATTAGTCAAATAATTATATTTGTATGAAATTATTAAAAGAAATAATATGACACTTTAGGCCTTCACTTAAGTTGGGAATGTAACAAGATGAATGTAAAGATGTTATGACTTAATATTTTAATTTTTTGAACTACTAATCTGTAGTTCTCTTAATTTTTTCACTTTCATTTTCAGTTGTATGAATTATGCTGTTTGCTAATTCATTTTTATATTATGTTGGCAGATTATTTTCTTTATTTCCTTTTCTAGGCAGTTTTTCACTGCAAAAGTCTTTGCTAAACTCCTTCATACAGACTCATATGGAAGAATTTCCATCATGCAGTTCTTTAACTATGTCATGCGAAAAGGTGATTTATTTTTATTATACTTGAACTCCTGTCTAGGAATCAAGTAGATTTTTGGTCTGTGTTTTAATTTTAATAGTGTTTCTTCTACTCTCATATTTAAGTTTGAATAAATTTCTTGTGTTTTGATTTAGATATTTTATTGTTATGTTGTTATTAAGATTCTACAAAGGGGGCCGGAGATTTAGCTCAGTGGTTTCACCGCCTGCTATGCAAGTGCAAAGACCCAAGTTCGATCCCCGGTACCAAAAAAAAAAAAAAAAGATTCTATAAAGGAGCTTACCAAAGCTGTGATTTTTCTGCCTTAAATTTGGCTTCATTATCATAATCCAAAAAACAGTCTCATGTATCCTAAAGATACTAGCAGGCGAGAAAGCAGAAGCTGGTAGAGTGTTTGTTTGTTTGTTTGTTTGTACTGATGATTGAACCTGGGGCCTTGGGACTTTTTCTTTTTTGGCGGGAAAGAAGAGGGGACAGGGTCTTGCTAATTTTCCCAGGCTGGCCTTGAACTTGGAATCCTCCTGTCTCAGCCCCATGAAGAAATTATATGCTTGTGCCATCATGCCCAGCTGAACCAAGAGTTTTAATATATGGTGATTTGAAATAATTTTAATATAGTGGTAATTTTATTTCACTAATATATTATAGTTTGAGTTGCTTAAAAGGATAGTTTCAAGGGCGAGGGATTTACCTCAGTAGTTCCGGCGCCTGCCTCATAAGTGCAAGGTCCTGAGTTCAATCCCCGGTACCAAAAAAAAAAAAAGGATCGTTTCAAACTCAAAACTGTGTCATCAGTTTCAAGGAGCCTGTAAATAAGAGTTGTTAGGATTCCTCTAAGTACCATAATGATCTGCAAAATACTGCTGTGTACCATCTTTAGCTGATGTAGTTGGCTGCAGTAATTAACCTCAGTAGAATAAAACCAGCTCAAAAAAAAAAATAAAATAAGTGAATAAAACCAGCTCCACTGAAGACCTAACACTATGATCGCTGTACTTATAATGGGTAAAGAACAATGTCCTCAAGGGCATCAGTGTTACTGTAACTTTAATCATAGTAGAACTGTTGAAATACACCATTTTATGGTGGTGTTTTGCTGTAGACAGTTTGGGGGTTAATGATTATTTAATGTGTGTGTGACAAAAAGTTTTATAGAGTTACTAGATTGGTTTGTACTTCTAATTAGCTTTTTACCTCTCTTTTTTATAAACATGTACTTGATAAATCTTAAGAATTACATTTCATTTTCATTATCAGTTTGGCTTCATCAAACAAGAATAGGACTCAGTTTATATGATGTTGCTGGACAAGGATACCTTCGGGAATCTGTACGTATTAATCTATTTTTGATAATGGTTATACACACCGAAATGTTAACAGTAGTTATCTTAGGTGTTGTGATTACAGGTGATTCTTTATTTTGAGCCTCTGTTTTTATTTTTTTCTTCTTTTTTTGTCTTCTTTGTGTTTGTGATACTAGGGATTAAACCCAGAGGTACTCTGCCACTGAGCTTAAACTTCAGATCCGTTTTTATTTTGAGACAGAGTCTTGCTAAGTTGCTCAAGCTGGCCTCAAACTTGTGTTCCTCCTGCCTCATCCTCATTAGTAGCTGGGATTATAGGCATGTGCTACTGTGCTATTTTGTTTTACTTTGACAAACTTGTTACTAAAAAAATTTAATATATGTTGGCTGTATAAATTCCTTCAGACTTTTTTAAAAAGGCCTTTTAAAAGGGAAAATGAAAAGAAGGTAGTGTTTTAACAAGCTTAAAAATCATTGAAGAAACAGTGAAAACCTTTAGTTGGTTTTTTGGGGGGTTTTTTTGGTACTGGGGATCGAACTCGGGTCCTTGCGCTTGCGCAGCAGGCAGCAAAACCACTGAGCTAAATCCCCGGCCCCTAGTTGTTTTTGAGTGGTATGAATGTGTGGTTGTTTTAAGGACTGGGACTTTCCCTTTTTTAGGAACTGTAAGAGAAATTAATGTAACTCTTTTTCCACCTACAGATTTAGGGATGTAAGGTCAATAAGGGAATTATAAGGGAATATATAAGTTATAAGGCAATCTTTATTTATAAGGGAATTATAAGGGAATATTTATTTCATATTAGGTACTAATGTAGATAAGGCCAAGTTAATCAACAGAATTACAGTCTCATGATCTAAATGATTATGCTTCTGATAAGTGTGGGTATCTATGTAGACATGCTTCTTTTCATCTCAGGCATTTTTCCCGAATGTGGAATCATTTTTGAGGTTGTGGGGGAAAGGGGAAGGGAGTTGAGTATAAATATGAACTAGGTTAAGCAATTATTTAAATTATTTAAAAATTTAAATTATTTAAATTACAGACTTAAATGTCAATTCATTACAGTTCATTATGGTTCTTGTTGTAATTTTCTTGTAGTTTGCTTTGTCCAGATTTCTGCAGATAGACTGTTAGCATATTCTGAACATTACATTAAACCTTTCAGTATAATTCTTGTTCTTTAAGGTTTAGACCACCTTGACAATAAAAAGCTCACAGGGAAGATGTGATTAACCACCCGCTGATAATTACTCATAGGTCAGGTATTGGAATAGTGTGGAGGATTTTGGTTGGTTGGTTGGTTTCTTCAGTGCTAGAGAATGAACAGAGGACTTTGCACTTACCAAGTACTCTTCCACTGAGCTACATCACCAGCCCTTTTAAAATTTTATTTGGAGACTGGATCTAAGTTGCATGGCTGGTCTCAAACTTGTGATCCTCCTGCCTTGGCCTCCTTGAGTACTGGGATTCAGACTGGGATTATATCAAGCTCATAGTTTTACTTATTTATTTAGCATTACTGGGGTTGCAACCCAGGGCCTCACACATTCAAGGAAAGCACTTTACCACTGAACCACCACTGAAGGATTTAGCTCAGTGGTGCTGCCCCCTGCCTCGAAAGCACAAGGTCCCGAGTTTGATCCCCGGTACCAAAAAAAAAAATTTATTTACAATTTAGTGTCTGTTAACCCACTCTGCCAAGAAAAAAGCTCCACAGAGTAAGGCTGAGAATAGTTCCTGACACAAACTGTTTACTAGATACTTAATAAGTATAAATGAAAGTTTTACATACATGACTCAAATTATAATTGTTAGTTTCCAAGTCACTTTTTTAAAAAATTGATAAAATACAATGACTACTTTCAAAAAGCAAAGTGTCAATATTTGGAGAAATACCTTCCCTTGAGAAAACCATTTTCTTTCACTAAGAAAATTAAAAATTACTGTCTTAAAAACATCTGTGGGGGCCGGGGATATAGCTCAGTGGTTCTGCTGCCTGCCTCGCAAGCACAAGGACACGAGTTCGATCCCTGGTACCAAAAAAAGAATGAGAAAAAAGCCAGCTTAATGAAGATGTAATATAGAAGGAAGTATAGCAAATATAGTGTCCTCAAGACAAAATAAAATCTGATCTTTTAAAAAAAATTTGTATTAGTATGTGCTTGCAGTACATAATGATTACATTCATCATGGGGAATGGTACATGTACATAATGCATCTCAATTCTTTTTACTTCCCCTTCCTACAAACAAAGAATCTAGGATGCTAGAGCACATGATCGAGAGCTAAAGTGACAAGAGGTAAGTCAGAAGTAGGCCACGTGTAGGGCCTTTTAAGCTGTGGTAAGAAGCTGAGTTTTATTTGAAGGCTGTTAAGGAAGCCATTGAAATGTCTAAGCTGAGTCTGTCAGGACACAATTTACATTTTTACATTTTTAAAGATCACCCTGGATGCTGTGTGGAGGGGTTGAGTGTAGACTAGAAGCTGGAATATTAGACATCCCAAATGAGATGATAGAGGTCCTGACCAGGGTGACTGATGACTGTAGAGAAAGCTAGAAATAGATTAAAAGCTGGAGGTAAGGAATGGTGAAAGAATGGTAGGAACCACATGAGTCTTAAATAACTGCCAAAATAAAGGAAAACTAGGTGAGAACCAGGATTGAGGTTGAAAAGAGAGTTCCTGTTTTTTTGGTACTGAGGATTGAACTCGAGACCTTGCGCTTTTGAGGCAGGTGGTGAAACCACTGAGCTAAATCCCTGGCCCTGCTTCATTCTTAAATAACAGTTACTAATGGGATGTGTGTACGATGGGGTGCTGCACAAGTACTTAACCCAGGGAATTAGATTGGACACAGTAATCCTCATTTTCTATCCACTGATTTTTGGGTGATACTTGCTTTATCTCAGGAATCATCAAAAGCCCAGCTTTATGCTAGGCACATGTGATACCTCTATAACCTACCACCCTGGGAAGCTGAGGCAAGAGGATTGCAAGTTCAAGGCCAGTGAGCAACTCAGTGACTTAGGAAGGCCTGGTCTCAAAAGGGCAGGGCATGTAGTTTAGCATGAAAGCCTTGAGTTAAATCCCCAGTGCTAAAAACTAAATAAATAAATTAAAGATAAACAATTTAAGCATCCATCAGAAGAGACCTAGTTGAGTAAATTAAGGTACATTTATCCAGTGAAGTAACAGTTGTTTAAAACTGTAGCATTTTGACAGCCAGTATTAAATGACTATAAGTATATTGTTAAATGACAAAAGCAGTTTTCATGGCATACTGCTTCATCCTGTGCAAAAAGAGAAATACACATGGATATGTATTGGCTTGTATTTGGATCAGGTATCTCTGGAAAGCCATGTCAGAAACTGATAATATCTAAGTTAGGTTAGGTGGTGCGCATGTGTACTCCCAACTACTCAGGAGGCTGAGGGAGGAGGTTCTCTTTACCTGCATTGAAGGCCAGCAAGAGCAACACAGCAAGACCCCATCTCTTGAAACAAAAAAGTCGATAAAATAGGTTACCTCTGGGGAAAGAAAATAGATGAGAGGAGA